TGTCGGTCCGTCTCTCTTTTCTTTTGTCACTTCTCTCTCCTCACTTCTGTCTATTCTTCTTCTTCTCCATTATGATCTTGCTTGTTTTGTCGGTCTGGTCCTTCGCCAGGGTCAGTGAATGTGTGTGGGTGTGTGAATGTGTGCTCTGTCATCTTTAATGCTGCTGTTTTCCAGTGATGTCAAATTGGAATTCAATTTTGATGTTTGCTCTCATCACAAGTGGCTGGCTGTTCCGGGTGCTTGCGTTACTTCAGTTGCATGTACCTTGAGTCTATCTGTACGGAAGCTGCATACCTTCAGTCTATCTGTACGGAAGCTGCATGCTGTGTGGGGGTCTAAGTCTGTGTTCTAACTCTGTTTGCTGGGATCTATGGCTGTGCCTCGGATAAGGACAAAGTAGGCAGTAGGTAGATTCACAGGGACAGGACCGAAATTGGGCGCCGGACAGACTTAGGGGCCTACATGTATGTAGGAGCATTAGTAGAATTGGGCTACGGTAGGTCCGCTTGGAGACCGTCAGGATTTGCCAGCAACTTTATCAGCGCAAGAGACGAGACTTTGGCCACTGGCAAGGACTATCGGACAAAGTCTCTCAATCTGGACGTGTTCCACGCAGAGATGCAGAAAAGAAGATCTATCACAGTTTTCTGCACCTCGCCACATCCAGATTCAGGCACTCGTTCCAATCCTCCACCCCCTCCTGAAATCTGTTTTCTTTGTTTTTTTTTTTTTTTTTCCTTTTTTTTTTTTTTTTTCAAAAAGCCCACGGTGTTGTAGAGGCCGGTTACTAGGCACACATTGATCGCCAGGAGTGGTCAGCCATGGTCGTCCTGAGGGAAAGAGGCTACCATCCCATCCCATCCTCACGTCAATACTCCTAGTGCACCCCCTATCTCTACTATCCTACCTCAGTGTGACCAGCACTCAGGATCATTGCCCCTATAGAGGGGAACTTGGACAGAAACCAACTCAGGAGTGCTCTCAAATGGCAGAAGCCAGGAGATTCAGGTAGAGATTGTTTTTTTCGTCTTTTCGCCACACTGCATCATGGAGTTCGCACGCTCTAACGGCCAGGCGCTATGTGGTCCTCTTCCACCACCTCTCCTCCTCGAATTTCGAGCTTAGCTGTGAGGGATGAGTGATGTCTCTCTCTATTTTCATTCTTTTTCAAGAGTGACAGGCGGGAGGCTGTGAAACCGCACGCTGATTGAGCGCCGGGTCGGAGCTCAAATTTTTTAGCTCCGCTCAATCCTGCGCTCAGCGGGGGCGGGAGTATTTTTCCCCCCCAAAAAAAAATAAGAAAAAAATAAAAATAAAAAATACAGGGTTGTAGATATTTTTGAGATCTACAACCTTGTATTTTTTATTTTATTGTTTGAAGTCTTTCTGTATTTTTGAAAAATCAAAAACATAAACGAAAGAAGAAAAAAAAAAAAAGAGAAAACTAGGGCGCAGTCAGGGTTACAGTTTGTAATTGCATTTGAAACTGCGTTTTAGCAGTTTAGTCAGGGCCCGAGTTTCAATTGCAGTCGAAACTCGGGCTGTTTTTTTCTAGCAGTTCAGTCAGGCACATGGCCGTTTCTTTCTTTCTTGGTTTTGTTTTTTTTTC